TAAATTATTTTTTGGTGGAGGCCCTCTCCAGGGATGTTCATCCCAAAGAAGCTTTGTGCTACACCATTTTGAGCAAGGTGACACAGACTGGAAACTGAAAAATGTAAGTGAGCAAGCAGAGCTGTGGAGAAGTGGGGCTCCCTCCAGTCGGCTGGAGGCTGATAACATGGAATTATTTTTGTGGCTTCTTTTCAGTGGTATTAGATCTGATGCCTTTCTCTACTGCGTGGCTACCAGACAACTTCATACAGTGAAGTTAGAACATTAAATATGTTAATACAGTATAAAATGAAGTGTTATTCTCCCACATGAGCATTAGCAGCATTTATGGGTCTGCAGATAGCGTTTGTTTTTCTCCCACCATGTCCTAGTATCCCACTTGTTAAAATAAACAACTGCTTTTGATTTGTAGCCATAACTTTACAGTTTAGGAGCCTGTATCTGAAATAACGAATTAGCCACTCACTACAAAACACTGAAATAAAAACAGACCAGTGTGTAACTTGGACTCAGCAGCCACCAGCTGTACCTCATCTTGCTAATCTTTAGGTCTTTTTTTTTTTTTAAAAAAAAAAAAAAGCGGGGGCTTTTAAGAGTTAAGTTACACAACTCTCTTTTTATTTTTAAAGTGAGTGGATTCCTTGTTGCGTTGTTGAGGATGATAAATTGATACCACATGTTGCTTCCAGACAAAAAAGACTCTGTACTGCAGTGGAAGCACTTGCAGCTGGTGTCTGAGTTAATGGACAGGCTCCACAAGGTAAACACAGCTTGGAAGAGGCTGAAACAGGCACAGGGAGGGGAAATTTTCTCCATTTTAAAGGCTCAAGCATTTCTGGTGTGGCCTGACCGGGGCTGAGTGTTGAAATAACACTCAGTCCCAGCCTCCCTGGGAGACTCATTCAGTCATTTATATCAAATCAGGTATATGGCACTTCGGGAATATTTGAGTGTCCTCTCTGGGAGCTTACCCATTTGCAGTCTTACCAAAATATCAAGAGAAACACGTGTAATTAGGACATGGTAGCCAATTTCTTTTTTCTTTGTGAGCAAAATGTGACGGGTTCCCTCAAGGGGTATTAACTGAACAAAATGCAGTGCAGTGGATGGACATTTATAAGAGCTGAGAGCATGGCCCTGAGTTTGGGGAAAGTGCTGTCACCCCTGGTGTTGCTGCCCTGGCTACTAGTGGGCACCCAGCTGTGCCCCTTCTCCTGCTGCTGTCAGCCTAAGCCTGGGTAGGGTAGCAGCGCTGCTTGCCTGTGGCGCTGCACCACCCTCTGCTCACACCACAGATGACCTGCCTGGTGTGTTCCTCTGCCCTGGGTCTTTCTTGTCGCCAGGGCTGGTCGTTCTTCCCTGGGGGACCACCTCACTGGGGGACCAGGACCCAGCTGAGATGGGCTGAAGGCCGTATGGGATACTCTCGATCTTATCTGCAAGAACCTCGGTCTTCTGGCTCTTAGCAGAGCGCACAGCATTCTTCAAGTCTGGTATAAATATAACGCTAATAACGGGAGGAGCTCATCATCGTATTTCTTTTCTACCCTGCTCTTGTACAGTCCATATGTTGTACCCATCAGTGGTATCTGAGCTCTTTCCAAAGTGTCTGCAGCCTGGCTAGCATCTGTCCCATCTACATATGGTCTCCAGGACAGATGATGGAAGTTGCTTTATAGATCTTTTAAAGTTTTTCATTGCATTCTGGCATGGAAAAATGAGTTATGTTTCCATCGTCATGGCCTAATCCATCTCCCATATAAGTCAAAGACAAATCCCTATTAATTTGATCAGCAACGGGTTCAAATGATAAACTGTATTTTCTTTGCTTCCCCACCTCCTTTGCGGTTTGTTGCATCGTCATATATTGCGAATGCACACAGTTTGAGCAAAGATTGTCCTGTGATATTTTCCTATATTTTAAGCAGATAGGAACATTCTTTGACAGGTCAGAAACCAGGTAGAAAATACAGTTATTTCCATCCAGATTGCAGCCTGGTTGCACAGCACAACAGACTGATGTGAGTTGTCAATCCCGGTGACTTCTGTGGCAAAACTTGCATGTGAAAGGGTAATAGGATCCAGCCCTAATTTGATTTGGCAGAGCATCCATCACAAGGAGAAACCAAGAAACTCAGATACTGTTGCTGAAGAGGTTAGTGGGGGAGGTTACGTGAAAGAAGTGGGTTTTAAGGCAGTATTTGAACAGAGGGTGGAGATGGGGTACACAAAAATAAATCGGCCCATAATTATGCTTAAGAAAACAATCTTCCTACAGAAGAAAAGTAAAGAAAAACAGAAGCCAGAGTGTAAGTGGCATATTGCTTAATGTAAAGGAAAACAAACTGCTTGGATTTTTTTATAACCACCAATTTTCAACACAAAAGTATTATTACATTCTTTTATTACTTGTGTAATACCAACACCGAACAAAAAAAAAAAAGATATAATAAGAAGAAAATTACACATGTGCACACACATATCCACACATGCAGGAGCCCTCATCTTGAAAGGTGCCTCAGTCTCACAATTTTACCATTTAGGATTTTTCATGGGTTTAGGCCAAATAGTTTCATCCTACGGCTACCAGCAGCAGAAATAAGCCATTTTATGAGAACACTGTAGGTTGAAAACTGTTAGCTGCTGGCGCTTTGGCTGAGTGTTTTTAGATCTGAAGCTATGTGGCACACTGTGTATGCCACCTTGGGTGTTTCTTTTCTGTGTTTTCTCAGATTTTTTTTCATTAGCAAGAGTCACAGTGCTGTGTATTCTTATGCCCAGCATTTTTAGGTGGGGAGCAGTGCGGTTTGTATAGCTCCTGTAGCCTGGCTTGGTGTGGTGGTCTAGCTCTAGTTGTCTTCACCCTGCTGCTGGCTCTTTGTGAGGAGAGATCCCCATGCAGGTGTTCTCACAAGTGGTTGTCCATGAAAGTCATCAGAGGTGACTGTGAGAACGACCTGCATTGATGCAGTACAAGCTGGAATATCAACAAAGTTTATTTTTAAAAAAAACCCATAAGTTCTCCAGCCAGTTGGGAGAAACCTGAGGAAGTAAGCAATGGCGCCTAGTTATTAGAAGTTAGAAACAGATTGTTGCCAGGCTCTAAATGTAGTTAAAATGTTATGTTAAATAATAGAAAGCTCTTTCCTTCCTTAGACTGAAGAACTATTACGCTGCAACTCAATCCACCATATTTTATGGCATGATAGTCCCTTAGAAATGAACGAGTTTATAGCGAGGCACTGACCCAAACTTCTCTTGAGTATGTCTGTGAATCTGGTCTGCTGTTTTGTGCAAATTGCTTAAAACATAACAGTTGCTATTTTGAACCATGGTCCATATGATTTCTCTTTTCATTAAGTGATAATCACAACCACGTCTGCTGTCTGCGTACGAGAAGAACTTCAGACATGTTTTCCATTTCACAATCTGACAAAAACCACGACACTTAACAGGGGAAAATAAAAGCGTTTTATACTGAAAATACTTGTTTAAAAAAAGCTGGACTGTATTTCTTTATACATCAAATGTGTCTCCAGTTCACTTATGTCAAACATCCATTTATCCTAAGGATGCAAATGTAAAGATGCTTGTGAATGATTTATTGATTGATTCATTCTTTGCCCATTTAAATCTGGAATTTCGTCAGTGCTTTGTAAATTAAGGACTTTTATCCTGAATGGTTTGATTATGCTGTATTCCTGTTGACTGTGTTTTTAAAGCATGCTGGTAGAACAAATGTGGGTTTATCCTCTGTATAGATATACCTGGTAATTGCCAAAATTTAAGAAAAAAGAACTCATGGAACTTTTTAAACTTGATCATCTTTAACCTGGAGGAATACCACAGCTGTTTTGTCAAGGCAATATGGGATAGATTCAGAAATATTTTGACTTGCACATGGAGAAAAACCCAAACCTGGAAACATTCTTACTAACGAATACTATTTGCTTGTCCTTTCTTTGAGCCATATTTTAAGGCCAAGATCAGCAGTATGAGTGGAGTGGGATTTTCATCTGTTATTTTGGTTTAAATCTGTAGTTATTTCACTAGGGGTACCGTGGGCTGGCTTTTTTGGCCTCTTTCTCATTCTGAGGTGATTATCATTGTTTTGAGCCAATGTGGTTTTTATATGGTAGATATTGCTGACTAGCACAAGCAGGTAATATGCAAGAGCAGACAGTGCATGGACTCCCCTGAAAGTACTGTATTTCATAGCATCCTGTACAGCATGGGGTATCCAACTCTGTACAGCAGCTTTATACAGCTCTGCATCTAGCAGCTTACAGGGACAGAGATATCGTCATGTAGAGTGTCACATCACATTTTGAAGACTGTGAGGATACTATAGCGAGGGGACGGCTGGCTGGCTAGCTACTGCAGTATGGGTGTAATTCTGGTGCCTCTAATCAAAGAGAGAAAGTACAGCTTAGTCACGCACAGAGTGCCTGTGGGAGAGGAGCAACAGCACTTGCAGTTTTCTCAAGAATTATTATAACAAATATGCAACACACATGCCCATGAAGAATTAAAAAGACATTTGCAGAGGCTGGGATGAGTGTGACTACCCCTCCAGTCAGATTTTTGCAGTGCCTTTGCAGTTTTTATTTCAAGGAACTGATGGCAAGGTTGCTGATAGTGTAGAGGTTTGTCCTGAGTCAAAAGTGAGGGAGAAACATCTAGCTCCTTGCTAGCAGGAACTGGAGCTGTGTCATATTCCGTTCCTTAGGGTGTGGTTTTTGGGGGTGTAAACATGGGCACCAGGAATGCACAGCTAGTGCAAGCACGGGGCTTACTTTACAGCAGCATGCTGGGACACTGCAGTTGCACTCCAGCCCTCCTGTATCCACCACTCGAGAAACCTGTGGTGATGGAGGGCCCAGTGCTTTTTATTCATGTTGCTGTTTTCATGTCATGCTGCTTAATGATTGAGATTTGGGTAGTAAAAGAAAAGAAGTGGGGTGCTGGTCTTGACGTTCTGTTTTGTTCCCTTCCTGCAGAATTCGATCCGGCACAACTTGTCACTCCACAGCCGATTCGTCAGGGTGCAGAATGAAGGCACTGGGAAAAGCTCTTGGTGGATGATCAATCCAGATGGTGGAAAAGGTGGGAAGGCACCCCGGAGACGTGCTGTGTCAATGGACAACAGCAACAAGTACACAAAGAGCAGAGGGCGGGCTGCTAAGAAAAAGGCAGCCCTACAGACTGCCCAGGAGACGAGTGAGGACAGCCCTTCTCAGCTCTCCAAGTGGCCAGGGAGTCCCACCTCCCGCAGCAGCGATGAGCTGGATGCATGGACGGATTTTCGCTCCCGTACAAATTCAAATGCCAGTACGATCAGTGGCCGCTTGTCACCGATTTTGGCAAGCACCGAACTAGATGATGTTCAAGATGACGATGCTCCGCTTTCTCCCATGCTGTACAGCAGTCCATCGAGCTTGTCCCCATCGGTAAACAAACCGTGTACTGTGGAGTTGCCTAGGTTGACTGATATGGCTGGGACAATGAATTTGAACGATGGACTGACAGATAACCTCATGGATGATCTCTTGGACAATATAACACTCCCTCCCTCCCAGCAGTCGCCCACAGGAGGGATAATGCAGAGAAGCTCCAGTTTTCCTTATGGTTCCAAAGGTTCAGGGCTGGGTTCCCCATCGAGTAGTTTCAATAACACCGTGTTCGGGCCGTCGTCCCTGAATTCCCTCCGCCAGTCGCCCATGCAGACCATTCAGGAGAACAAGCAGGCCACCTTCTCTTCCATTTCTCATTACAACAACCAGACGCTGCAGGATCTCCTCGCCTCTGATGCACTTAGTCACAGCGATGTCATGATGACACAGTCTGACCCACTCATGTCACAAGCCAGCACAGCTGTGTCTGCCCAGAATTCCCGCAGGAATATAATGCTCCGCAACGACCCCATGATGTCGTTTGCCGCGCAGTCCAGCCAGGGCAGTCTGGTCAATCAGAACCTGCCCCATCACCAGCACCAGTCCCACAACTCCTCTCTTAGTGGCAGCCGTGCCTTGTCCAATTCCATCAGTAACATAGGCTTGAGTGACTCGAACAGCTTGGGATCCACCAAACATCAGCAGTCACCTGTCAATCAGTCTATGCAAACACTTTCTGACCCGCTCTCAGGCTCCTCTTTGTACTCCTCTAGCGTGAACCTCCCGGTCATGGGACACGAGAAATTCCCAAGTGACTTGGACCTGGATATTTTCAATGGGAGCCTGGAGTGTGACATGGAGTCCATTATCCGCAGTGAACTCATGGATGCAGATGGGCTGGATTTTAACTTTGATTCCCTCATCTCAGCTCAGAACGTTGTCAGTCTGAATGTGGGGAACTTCACTGGTGCTAAACAGGCTTCATCACAGAGTTGGGTACCAGGCTGAAGGATCTTTGAGAACAGGGAAAATGGGCAAACAGGTCAGTGCCCCATAGATGTGGTAAAATAATTGGTTCCTTAGTTTTATTGGACTTTGCACCAAACCCTTAATAGTTAGTGCACACTAATAATATTAATTTGGCTTTTGATGGCTTGCTATGTGTTGGTATGCAACAGGCACAACCAAGAAACATTTGGAGGTGTGGAGGTAAAGGAGGCTAAGCTATAAAAGCTGTTCGGCTGCAACACTGTCAGCACGCATCTGATGCTTTGTGTCCTCCTTAATAAAGGCATGAGAAATGTTAATGACAAATCAGGCAAACCAAGGTGGAATATTTGTGGGTTTTAGGAATCACAGAGCTCCAACTCATCTTCTTTGAAGTCGCAACAGATGAATTTGGCTCTGCAGCTGATGCCGCATGTAGCCAAGCTGTGTTACATAGGGACGGGGCAAGGGGCTTTGCAGTCAGTGGAGCAATGTTACTGCAGGGGTGGAGGAAGAGCATATTTGCAAGATCAGTGTGTGCACTGAGTATCGGGTGTGTGGGACAGATCTGGACTGAGTTAGAGTTGAACTGCTGCTGTGGTACAGCAACGCTAGTGAAGTTGTTTGGGTTTTTTTAAATTGTATTTCTTGGAAAAAAAAAAAAAGGTTGTAGCAAATCGAGGAATTGTATATTGAAATAGCAAAGGTGGGATCCTGGTCCCAGGAATGTCCTGGGTTTAATGTTTTAAATATGCAAAAATTGTTGGTCCCCCTGCAGGACTGGGGTGGTGAGTGTCATTTTCTTTTGGACTCCACCAAGAGATTATTTGTAGGTTTGGGTTCTGCCGTAGGTGCTTTTGAAATGTTAGCCCCTTCAGATTAATTTTTTCCATATCAATATGGGTTTTTTTTCATTGCTTTTTTTCCCACAGCTGGGGGCATTTGAACTTGTAAACATTGTTTCTGTCATCCTTTTCTGATTCTGCAGGCCCATGCCTCTCCCTGCTCACACGTACATGTTCACTGACTCATAGGGTAGGTGCCACACAAAGTGCCCTTTCTCCTTTGTTTATTTATTAGTATAGAGAGTAGATTTCAAAATACAGTAGGATAAAAGGTTAGCTATAAATTATTGAAAGTGTTCTATTAACTTCAGAATAGTATGTAGAGTATCCCAGTGGTAAGGTTAAATGAGGCATTCGTTCAGTTTGCAGCTTACTTCTAAATTCATTATTTTCTAGATGAAGGATGGAAAGAAGGAGTCAGTGTTGTTTGACTTTACAGTGCATAATTTGCCCCTTTCATCTTTAATTGAGTTTTCATTCTCTGTTTCACAGTTAGATGTTCAAGATGAAGCTTTGTGGTAGGTGAGCAGCAGTGGTGAACCTCTTGAATGTCTTCCCTGTGTGTATGGAGTACCACGGGAGGCATGTGCAGTGATCTGCCGTCTGTGAGGGAGAACAAGACTGCACAGGAATTCTCCTTTCAGTCGTTCTGCAAAGCTGCCTCACTCCGGTGGAGCAGTTGGTTTGCACAGGCCTTTCTCTGTCGGCGGGAGGATTTCCTCTGGTTCTTTCACATCTTCTCACTCAAAGAGAGAGTGTTGCAGTGCAGGGCCAGGAGACGGGCTGCAGAGGTGGGCTCTAGAGGTCCCACTGCACCTCCACAAAACAGCAGCTTGGCAAGGCCAGGGCCACAGCTGAATTCTGGTTTTAATTCAGTTCCAGTGCTGGAAAATTTAAGAAAGAAAAGGGGGGAAAAACAATTGACTCATGAACCAGGAAGCAAAAATTTGCAGAGGTTCACAGTTGCTGACCAGTTCTCTCTTCCTCTAGGTGCATGAGCTGTTTGGATTAAAAAACCCTTTTTGCATGAGGTTAAAAAAAAAAAAAAAAAAAAGAGAGCTGTAGGAGCCCTATTGCCATGAAACATCTAGCAGTACAGTCTGCCAAATGGGGCCTAAGAAATAGATGTTATTGACAGCTTTGCTTCCCACAGGCAAATAGGGCAGTTGCCTGCTTTCATAGCTGCGTTTGCTGTGTATAGGTAGAAGCCGCCCGTGGGGAGACCTGTGTGGGCAGTGCGGAGGAGGCACACCATGCCACCTCCTCACCGATGCTCGCTGCTGCCTCTTCACCCCAGCCTGTGCCATTCATGAAAAGTGTAGCTGCCGTGATCTTTTTCAGGCTGCTTCCTCCGAATAAAGGAACTGACACATCTGTGTGAGCGGAGTCTCATTGCAGAGGACAGATTTATTAACGAGACAGCTCTCCTCGGCGGATTACTGTCCAGTCATCTGTGGAAGCCTCTTTCCCTCTCTCTGACAAGTGGACCGGCTGCTGCGGGGTGCCTCCGGTATCAGGTGCAAGCGCAGATGATTTCTGCTGAGCTGGTTCATCATGCACCCTTCCTCGTCTGTTAAGCAGCTCTGTTTGAGAGTTCGCTTCCCTCTGAGCATCTCATCTTTTGATAGGGACTCCTCACGTGACAGTGGATGTAATCGTTCTGAATTGCTTTCTCAGTTACTTTTCCACTTTGCTGTAGCAATAGGGACCCTTGAATTAAAATCTCTTGGCAGTGTTCATGACCCCCATACTGAATCTTTTTAACTTGAAGACTGGGGAATGCTTTCAATAGAACAGCCTGGCACTTGCTCATGCTAAATCGGTTTCACAAGGGCGGCCAGGTGTGTTTTGCAGGCAGGCAGCAGCACTTAGAATGGATTATTGGCATACCTGGGAATAGTGAGTGCTGTGTTTTCTATGAAAAATAAGAGAAACGTTGGAGTCAGTTTTCGGGAAGAAAAGAAAGAAGCCAAATACTTGGGTATTTAGTTTATACATACTCTAGGTATAGAGGGGGGATTTACTTTGGAAGAAAATCAACTGCAGTTTCTTCATAGGGGAAGTAAAAAACCCATGCAGGAGACACCACCATTGCAGTGCCTGTGCACGTTTGCTGCACGTGAGCCTGTGCAGGCTATCTGCAGAGAGCCTTGCCCGGCTGTATGGCGCTGGCCCTGTGTCCCTGAGGCTGGCCGTGCCCAGCCTTTCAGAGGGCCCTCATTGAGGCATATAAACGAATTTGGGTTTGTTTTGGTTTTTTTTGTTTTACAAGAAAGAAAGGAGAAAATCAGTATGATTTTTTTCTTGCTTTATTCACTCAGCCATAATTTTACTCTCTTAAGCTGGCTGGGGCCTCCATTCCTCTCTCTCTGCCTGCTTCCCAAGAGCACTGGATATGCCTTCCACCCACTCAGATAATCATCACCTTGGTTTTTCAGTTTGTTTATCAATAAATAAAGACATCACTATTCCCTCACCTGTCTCTAGAATACGTTTTATTTTTAAACTACTGGGTCCTCTCTCAGCCTGGGATTCCCACGATTCTGCAGTTTGCTCCATGGTCCTTCTGAGCTGGTGAGTCCCAAGGGACGTGGCATTTGCCAAACGGTAGTCCCAAACAGACTGCCATGGGAGACTGTTTGGGACATTTACTGCTGCCTGGAATGTCAGGAGCTGGTGATCAGCTACTGCGTGGGCAAACGTTTCCTCCAGCATCAAAACCCATCCAAGTTGGTTTTACCTTGATTGTTTCAGTGATCCAGTTTACAATGGTGCTGCGCAGGCAGCGAAGCTGGCAGGGCTTGGGCAAGGGGTGGAGGATGGCTCAAGTGCAAGCAAGGAAGGGACTTCTTGAGCTGGTTTTACTGCCTGAAAATCTCAATGTGCCATTTAGTGTCGGATGCCTCTGGGCTCTGTAACAGAGCTGTGCTGGAGTCACAGTGTCATGTTCAGAAACTACAAGTGAAATACCTCACAGATCAGTTAAAGTCACTCATTTCGCCCTAGCATCATCTAGGTCCCACATCATCTTACTGTAGCATAAGAGTGCACAAGCAACTAATAGCAGCATCATGTAACATTTGCATAATTTGATGATTAACATCTCTGATAAAGCAGAATCCTAGAAAATGTAACAAAATGCCTGTTGCATTTTATTAGTCTGTATCAGTTTGGACTGATTTGTTAATTGGCGTTCAACCTGTTTCTGGGTGAAATTCATACCAAAGATGAATACATAGGTCAGCAGATGACTTACTATTCCCTACACCACCATCTTAAAAGTTGAAATAAGTAGTAAAAGATCTCCATTTGGATGGAGTTTCAAATCAGAGAACTCTGGACAATATGCCACGAGGAAGATGATTTTTGTTCTTTACCAGAAATCTTCTTTTCTGCTCATGAAATCTGAAGTGTGGAGACCAGAATCAGTGGATCTCTTGCCTGAAGATGCTGGCAGCCTCAGGACCATAGCTGTGCTTCCTTCTTTCTTATTTTCAAAAATCAGGTCTTAGGGATAGGGCTGGAAGGTTTCTTACATGGAGCCAGTATGCGGCTGGCTGCCTTAAAAAAATCTAAAGGAAATTCAGGAGCAGCAAATTTTTCTGCTCCATTTCTAACAGGTTAGTGGTTAAGGCATTGGCACGCTTCTAACATTTAAGTGTTGTTTCAGCCAGCCCAAGTTTTGAAAGGTGGTTTTGTGACTAGCTAAACATCACGTGCACCAAGTTTAGTCTTTGAACAAAAATACCTGTGTAGAAAATGTATTTCGCTGTGAACAGGGATCCCATTAACTCCAAGCAGGGCCTGCCCAGAGCAGGTTCCTTGCTCCCCGAGCACACACCAGCAGCATGGGAGCAAACTCAGTGCTCGTGGCTGCTGGGGAGGAGGACACAGGAAAGCTGGGCTGCCCCCCATGCGGTCCCGTTGGCCACAGTGCCCCTCGAAGCCCCTTGGATGTAGGGGCCAGTCTTAGACTTGCAGGTATGCTGTGACTTTTGCTGTGTGAAGGCAGCAGGAGCTGACACATAAACACAATAAATCGCTCACTCCTTCTGGGAGTAAGACTTTTGGTTTGTGTTTCTTTTTTTTTTATCAAGGTTTATGTTTTGGGGTTTTATTAACCCAGGAAAAAGATCTGTAACAACCAGGACTGCCTCCACAGGCTTGTGTTGGGAGTATACAGCAGCTGAAGCCAGGACAGTGGTCTGAT